AACGTTGATCATAAATGACTTTAAATAAAAGGAAAACACAAATACGACCCAGTGAGATTTGTTGTTCTGTAAAATATAGTTTTTCATATCAGCGAACATAAACTCAGATACCAACAAGTGATGAATTATCTCTCTATATAATTCTATTCAACAACAACAACAACAACAACAACAACAGACAACGTGATACTCACAACATGAAGTCTTGTTCCCAGCAGGGTTGATCCCCGCGGACTGTGATGGTTGTACTCTTCACATTCTGCACCTTCAACGTCACGTAGGCGTTAAACTTGTCTGTGTGCGAAGGAAAAAAAAAACAAACAAGAAGAATTAATCTTTAAAACAACACACACATTTCTTCATTTCTTCATTCGGCCTCGTTTCTGTCGTCTTGAGGCTTCACTGCCTCGTCTCAGTTATTGTTTGAACCACAGGTGAAAGTACAAATCTCATCTCAAACTCATAATGCAACAAATAGACAAACATCCACCGGGAAAGATGACGGAGATAAATCTAAGAGTAAAACAACCACCCGTGGTTAAGAGAATAAACTACCTGCATGGAAACCAAGTTATTTCCACTAAGACATAAGATTTTATGCAGAATATTCTCAAAATACTCAAAATACTGAGCTTCTGATAATTTTCTCCAGAACAATACTTGTTCCTTTAAATCACGATCAAGATTTGGCAAAAATTCATTTTAATGTTGAAAGCATCTGCATTCATGTTTATATTTTATTAAGTCAGGTTCTATATACTTGAGTTTTCTTTTTTTATGAAACATATCAAGTCTCAGTTAAATTTCTTTGTCATCAGCCAGTGAATTCGTCAGAGACTCTGGGTCACAGAGAGAGGAGACGGAAACTGTGACCCGTATCTTTGAACGATGCTCATTTTCAAGAAAGTGCTGCCGAGTTAAACAGGGAACAGTTTGTACCAGGAAGAGGCCACTTCAGAGTCTCATTACGTTTTCTCATCTCACGCTGACGGCTGCTCGGAGAACGCATGGATCCACACTTAACATATTCGCTGTCATGTCAGATCTACATTTGGTTGTTCTACAGAGATCAGCTGGTGCAGAGATAATCGTCTCCTTCATCTCATTCAGGGTCAGAGATGATTGCTGTAAAATGTATAATGCACTTCAAATACATCTGCTTATATTTCTGTATCTACTGTGCCTGTTCTTTTATTTTTTTAATTCCCAGACTGTTTGCACATTTAAAACTTGAAGCCCGTTTCTCAATTTTTATTTTTCGACCCTCAGTCCTCCCCAATCATAAACTGCATAGAAAAATGGACGCAGGCTCCGGGTCCAGAAAGTGAAGCCGATGAATAATCCTGTTCACTGACACACATCAGCGTAAACCACCAGCCGCCTAATCCCTGTTTGATTACCTGCCCCAAGAGGCCCCCGTCTTCACACGGACAGAAACGTGCACGAGCCCGAGAGAGCGTAAGTGATGTTGCTGTGTGCATATGTTCGTCTCCGTGTTCTCAATCTCGCAGTCTGGTGAAGAGGGTCGGTGGAGGCGAGGGCAGCGTCGGTGGATTTGGGGTGAAGATGAGGTGAGGGACGTGATCATTGAGCTGCGTCCATGAATACATTACACGCAGGGTTCGCTTCCAAATACTCTGGACGTGGTTCCTCGATGGTAAAATACCTGAATTCATTAAGCTGTGAGTCTTCGTGATGTCAGAACGCTGCTCGTCTCTCATCATTTTTACTATCAGACACAGTCGTGGGATTCATTTAACAAACATTTAATGTATTTGGTTAAGTGTCAAGCAACAAAGCCTGAATTTCAATTTGCTAAAACATTATCTTGCCCAAACCCAGAACACGGCCGCTCACATCAGCCCCCTGGTGCTGCTGACCTCAGATGCATGTCTGCAGCGGAGAGCCGTGGTTTTTAAAACTGCATAGAACGTATTTAGAGCAAGACAATTACAGTAAAAGCTTTTTAATAAGGTGCAGCGACTGAGGCTTTGACAGAAAGATGAATAGAAGACCTGTTTTATATTGAAGCATTAGCAGATAAACATTTTTAAACACGCCTTGATAAAACCAGATACTGCACTTCTCTCCTCGTCAGTTGTCCTGAGATGATGTTTGAGCTCTTCAATGAGTGTGAGCCACAGATTCCTTCATCTTCATTACCTCCGCCGACAACGTTTTATTTTTGTTTACCCAGTTGTTTAGCAGGATTACGCAAAAACTACTGGATTAACACAAACAGCGGAGAGAGGCGTGCAGGAAGAGCTGCTGCAGTTCTCTCACCGTCCAAGAAACACGTCACGATGACAAGCACCAAGACATTTTAAAGGTAAATTGTTCCAGATTTTTTTTTTTAAATCCAGGAGCAGAATGTGGAATATCCACTTCTAAAAGGTCAAATGGCGCCTGAATGAAAACCTGCACCTCTGACACTGAGCACGTGGAAAACAAAGCCTTGTTCCTGCTCCTGCATTCCAGTCACTTCGCCCTGCAGGGACGTTGGCATCACAGACTTTGTGCACTCAATCGGTTTTCCCAGTAAGAATAAAGGTTAATGCAGTTGCAACACGAGCATATGGGATCCTTAGCGCCCACATTAGATAAACACACTGCTGCATACAGATGTATTTCTTTTGTGCCTCCAATTTCCTTCTGAAAATCCCCCCGGAGCTGTTTGTTGATTACGTTGTGCTGCTTCAGTAAAGTAAGCAGAGCCACGCTGAGCTAATAAAACCTCACAGGGGAAGAGAAACACTCCCGACCAACAAAACACAGACGACTCCCTGCATTCTGTCTTAATCCTTATTTATCCAGGGAGGGTCGACTCAACACTTGATCTGCTTCACTCACACATTCACACCTCAGCTCCGTCACAGAACTGACTGATACAACAGGAAGGATCCGGTTTGATTCTGCAGATCTAAGTCAATAAATGTTAGAAACACTCTGGCTTCCTCCAACAGGTGTTCAGTCTGCACCACCTGCATCAGACTGGAAGATCCCGGTGTCTTGACTCGAGTCAAATTTCTTATTTTGTGCAAATGGAGACACATGCATACGAGTCAAATACAGCGTCTCCTTTCTCCCCGGGTATGAGACTCATGAAATGTCAAGTGTAAATGTCCCACCAAGCACAGCTCCGCTCTAATGACCGAGGCAAGACGGGGAGGTGAAAGGGTTAATCTGGAATAATCCATCATTCACTTAAGGGGGTTGCCAGGTCTGTGATGAGGGGGACGAGGGGACTGACAGGCTGCAGACAGCTCCATTTACTGCCTGAGCCAACAGAGCTGAGCAAAAACACACACAAACTGCACAAAGCAAAAACAAATCACACAAAAACGTCTAAATTTAGCTTCTGTTTTCTTCGACAGTGACGAGGTGTCATCAGAGGTGTTTGAATGACAGGTCTCCGTAAACACACACACACACACACACACACACTACGTGGATGGGTAATATCCCAGCATGCAGCAGGACCCTCTTGGGGAAGCAGTCGACGTCATTTATAATTAAGAGGCAATGACTTATGAAAATAAATAAGTTATATTCAGTTACACATGGACGTCTGCAGCACGGCCGGGCAAGATGACATTTACTGGGCTGTCTTCAGTAATGAATACTCTATTATGGGTGTCGAGGGAGGTGGAGGAGGAGGGTGAGGAGGGTGAGAGGAGGAGAGTGAGGAGGACGAGAGGAGGAAGGTGAGGAGGACGAGAGGAGAGTGAGGAGGGTGAAGAGGACGAGAAGAGAAGGGTGAGGAGGACTAGAAGAGGAGGGTGAGGAGGACGAGCGGAGGA